TTGCTGTGACCTGCTGCAGGGATGGGGGACGGGGGCTGCAGACTCCAGCCTGCTTCTGGCAGGCCTCCTGCTGGTCCGTTCTCTTCACTTTCCAGAGAGGGGCTGGGACTCTCCGAAGTCACCAGGAAGTCAGGGGCTCCTGTGTTCAGTGTCAGCTCTGGCTCCCGGGCACAGAGCCCCACCTCCACCGACTCAGCCTCCCTGTCCACCTCTGCCCACAGCTTCCTGACCAGCCTCCAGGAAGTGACCGGGACCCTGGTGCGGTCCATGCCCTCCATCACGGCCATCCTCGTCCTCATGTTCACCTGCCTCTGTATCCTGAGCTGTGGGGCTGGGGTGGAAGATGGCGGTAGGAACCCGGGCAGGGGGGCGGGGTAACGTAGGCCCTGCGAGCCTGGGTCGGCCCTGAACCACCAGTCCTCTTCTCGGTGGTGCTGCGGGGACTGTTCCGCCATTCCGACCCCAAGCGTTTCCAGAACATCTTCACCACCGTCTTCACTCTCTTCACCTTGCTGACTCTGGACGACTGGTCCCAAATCTACGTGGACAGCCGGGCCAACGGTGGGCAGGCCCCAGGCTGGCTGGTGGGCAGGAGGCTGGCCTGGGGGGCAGACCCTGAGGGCTGGTTACCCCACCTTCAAAGTGGGGCTTTCGATGCTTGCTGGGCGGTGCTGTTGAGGGCCGGCAAGAAACTCACGGTTCCAACTGCCTCTGTCTCCCAGGCGCCTGGTACATCATCCCCATTCTCATGATTTACATCATCATCCAGTACTTCATCTTCCTCAAGTGAGGGTGCCGCCCTGCTCCGCTCCCCGGCTTCACCCCTCCCCCCTCCCACCCCGGGGGAGCCCCTCCCCAGCCCCCTCACGCAGAGAAGGGTGCTGCCTCTCCTCCAGCCTCCTCCAGAGTACCCCACTGTCCCCCCTCCAGCCTGGTGATTGCTGTCCTGGTAGATAACTTCCAGATGGCACTGCTCAAAGGCCTGGAGAAAGTGAAGGAGGAGGTACGGAGGGGGTGGCGAGGGACCCGTCAGAGAGACGCAAGGAGAAGGCACGGAGGGAGGAGGCTGCTCCAGGGCCCACGGGCAGGGCCCTGGCAGGACCGAGCCTCCTCTTCCCAGAGGGCCGCCCAGATCCAGGAGAAGCTGCTGGCTGAATCGCTGATGAAGCTCAAGGAAGCAGGTATCGGCCCTCCCCTCCCGCAGTCAGGCCCGGGATTCCAGGCTGGGCTTCGAGTTTTAGAATCTGAGACTCAGGAGAACGTTCGGAGCTTAGAACTTTGGTCGAAAGAGCCCTGAGACCATCCTCCAAAAGCCAACTAAACTGAGAGTCAATTCCTAAAAGGCCTTTTGGTGAAATGACTCGATTAGCCAAATGATGATTTACCAAATACTCGTTTCTGTTAATAACTTAAGTTTATAGCAGTGGTTTTACATGCATTGGTTTCAGCTGCCTGAGGGCTTTGTCACGGTCAGATACACACTTGTCCAGGGTCACTGTGTGTAGCCATTTTGTTTAGAATCTGAGCTCCAGGACCCCACTCTGAAGATCATTAACACCAGAGGAATAAGGGTCCTCAGGGATCACCTGGTCCTTCATCTGCCCACTCCATCAGGGACAGACACTCAATGAAAAAGAGATGAAGGCTGAAACCGGTTTGGCTCAGTGGATAGAGCGTCGGCTTGCGGACAGAGAGGTCCCAGGTTCGATTCCGGTCAAGGGTATGTGCCTGGGTTGCGGGCACATCCCCAGTAGGAGATGTGCAGGAGGCGGTTGATCGATGTATCGATGTTTCTGGCTCTCTATCTCTCTCCCTTCCTCTCTGTGAAAAATCAATAAAATATATTTTAAAAAAAGAGATTAAGCAAAAAGAAAAGTTAATTGGTGCAGATTGTTTAGCAAACTGAGGGTGCAGGGGCTTTTAGGCGCAGCCGGGTCCGAGGCTTGAATGGCGGGCAGGAGTTGGTCTCCTTCCATCTCTCCGCTCTTCAGCCCGCTGCACGGTTTTGTGCTTAGAGCGGCCCCTACTTCGTGGTGGGAAAATGGCCACGCGCAACTCCGATCTCAAACCCTCAGCGTAGCCATGTCTGCACTCCCGGTGGAGCCCTCTTCGCCGGAAGCTCCAGCAACGCCCAGAAACGATCATCTTTGGCTCCAGTTGATCACCTGCATATTTCTGTTCCAATCCCTGTAGCCGGAAGGACAGGCTGTTCTGATTGGTCAGGCCTGAGTCTCACCAACAAGATTGCTCCACGCTCCACGCTCCACGCCTGGAGAAGTGGCTTCTGTGAGGGCATCCTGGGCAAAAACTTGTTGGTCCTGTTTGAAAGCCTCTCTGACACACGGGGCTCCCTCCGCTCCCTCTCAGTCCGGCGTCCCCTTGACCGCCCCCCTCTCTCTGCCTCAGAGTCTGAGGAGGTGCTGAGTGAACACACGAAACAGAAGCTCCTCATCGAGAAAAAATTTGGGACCATGACCACGAAGTAAGGAGACCTGCAGGGCGGGGAGGCCGTGGGTCTGAGGGGCGGGTGGTGGAGCCTGAGCAGTGGTCTGGCAGGGAAAGGGGGTTGCCCACCTCTGTGAGGCCCTGAGTCTCCGGGACCACAAATAGGACACAGACTAGCACCTGTGCAGGAGGGCCCTGCCCTTAAAGAGCTGTGCAGGCCACGGAGGGTGGGTGGACTTCAGCCAAGTGTGTGTGTGGGGAGGGGGAGGTGAGGAGGATGGGCCAGGAATCATCCTGGTGGGCAATACCTCGTTTCTGTTGACTTTCGTGGTGAGCTGGGGCAAGACAGCTGGGGGTTCGGGGCTGTGACTGTGGCTGGGAGACATCGGCACAGACTCCTGCTGCCTGGCTCTCGGGCCTGGCTCCCAGAGAGCCTTCCCTCTGAAAACTGGGCCTCGACCCCTCATCCGGACTGGCATGAAGCAGCGGACAAGGCGCCTGCCCCCGGGCACCCTCCCGGCTCTCCTCAGCCACCGACACAGGCCCAGTCCCAAAGGCCTTCCGTGACCCAGCCTTTGCCAACCTCGTTCGCAGTCATGGCAGCCACCACCACCCCCTGGCATCCTTGCTTCGCCCACACTGTTTCCCAAGCCCAGCACGTACTTCTCCACCTCCGGGCCTTTGCCCCGTCATTCTCTCTCCCTGGAATGTTCTCTGGCTGCCAATGCCAGGCACAGGTGACCAGGGGCTGGGAGAGCTGAGTTCCAGTCCTGCGCACTTCACCTCCTGGCCCCAGGCTACCCTCCACGCTCCAGCTCCTGGGCCCTCGGTGGCTCTGCCAGACGTTGCTTGGGGGCTTCATGGCCTCCACACTCTTCCCCACCAGCCCACCTCCACCAAGAGTCCTCGGTGTTGTTTTTTGTTTGTTTAAATCATTTCCCCCTTTTTCACTTAGAGCGTGATTTCTGTTTTAAAAGCAGTTTCGGCTTTTCTTCCTTCCTCTGATTTTGAAACCCTACGAGGGCTCCTGCCTTCCCGAAGATGAGGCCTGGGCACCTCGCTTTGACCTTCCCTGGGTGTGTCCACCTCCAGTCCATCCATTCCCTACCCGCCTCCCTGCGGCCTGCCCCCGCCCCCCAGTCTATGCCCTGCTGTTCTGGAAAAGGGAACCGGGGCCTGACTGAGCCTGGCAAACCATCACATCTTTCCAACCCAGCTCAGGGGCACTCACCGCTGCCCCCCACTCCGTAAGCCCGTCCTCACCCCCACGGGCCGTGCCCTGTGTCAGGTGCATGGGGTACACACACCTGGTTTGCTTTTCTGGCTCCGCCACAGACTGCGCCTTTGCAGGCAGGGGCTGCTCTTGTTCGTGTCTCTGTTCCTGGAGCGCCTTGTAGTGGAATTGATTTCCGTGTGATTTGGCCGGTGGATTTGTTAGACAGGCAGGCGCTGACGGCGTTATGAATGGGCAGTAGGGTGGGTGAATGGGTGGGGGGTTAGGTGGATGGCTGACTGCACAGCATGGTGAAGGGGTGGGGTGGGTTCAGGGCAGGGATAGGTCAGTGAGTGAAAGGGGGGGCGGTGATCAGATGGCAAGCGGATGGCTAGGCAGATGGGAGGAGGGATGGAGGGATGGAGGGTTGGAAGGGTACACAATTAATACCCTCTGTGGTACAGGCAGACTGGGATGGGGGGCAAGGCAGAAAAGTTGAGGTCTAGAGTTCTGGGGGGGGGGGGCGGGCAAGAAGGAACCGGGAGGTCACGATTCGATTCCCAGTCAGGGCACATGCTCAGGTTGCTGGCTCGATCTCTAGTAGGGGGTGTGCGGGAAGCAGCCAATCAATGATTCTCTCTCATCATTGATGTTCTATCTCTCTCCCTCTCCCTTCCTCTCTGAAATCAATAAAAGATATAAAATAAACAAGAAGAGCCATCTGGGGGGCTCTGGGGGCCAGAAACCCAGCCCGGCAGGTTGGCCAGGACTCACCGCTGCCCCCCACTCTCCTAGGCAACAGGAGCTCCTGTTCCATTTCCTGCAGCTGGCCACGGGGGTGGAGCATTATCAGCAGAAGTTCCGTTCCCAGGCATCCGTCATTGATGAGATCGTGGACACTGCGTTTGAGGTGAATCAGGCAGGACCAGAAGGGAGGGGCCAGAAGGGAGGGGCCGGGGGTGAGGCGACGCTGGAAGGCCTGACGGGGACGGTGCCCAGAAGGAGCCCTGAGTGACAGTCCCATGGGCGTTGGAAAAGGCAGAGGCTGGCGGCTCAGCCACCCCCCCATCCCACCCGCAGGCTGGCGAAGAGGACTTCAGGAAGTGATCCCGGGACAGGGACAGCGGACACAGACTGCAGCCTCTGGCCAGCTGCCCACGGGGTGGTGGGACAAGTCCCAGACCTGCTGCAGTGATTGTCGAGGCCTGCAGATCTGGACCTCAAGAGAGTTTTAAACCCCAGCAGGCCCTGTGTCCTCACTGTGTCCCCATGGGCACGAGACAGCAGAACGGTGTGTGTGCACGTGACTGTGCACACCCAAGTGTGTGCGTGCGTGTTGCATGCGAGAGGTGCTGTGCGTGGCCTCCTCCAGCCCCGCCAGGGCCTGGCATCCTAGCTCGGCCCAGCATGGGTTGGCAGCAGCCGGAGGGGTGACCTCGAAAGCGGGCCAGGCTCAGTGCTGGAGGGAGAGTGGGCGCTGCCTCCGGGAGGAAAGCCTTTCTGCCCAGGAGTCAGGAGAGAAAGAACAAGCTGGAATCGCCCTATACTGTCAGGGCACGGGGGACCTGTAGGCTCCGGAAACAGGGGCTCTGAGCTCAGGAATTGAGGGCCACCAGCACCTTTAGCGTCCGTTAGGAGGATGTCATGAACCCAGAGGTCCCCACGCGCTTGGGCCGGCGCGGGGTGCTGGAGACCTAGCACTGAGTCGAGCACAAGCCCCACACTGGCTCTTCCACTATCCACAACTCCCCCCTCCTCTCCACGACCTTCACCCCCTCTAGCACAGTGAGGCCATCAGGCAGCACAGGCCGGGGTGTCGGGGGTGGGACTCCAGAGGCGAGGCTGAGGGTGACGGACAGCTCTGCCAACCTAACCTGTGCCTCTAAGCTGGGCGTGAGGTGGCGAAGCTCCAGGCCTCTGGACAGAGGAAGCATCTCCCCTCCGGCCCGGCCGGGGGCGCCGCTGGCTCAGGGCCCAGGAAGAGGCTGCGCAGGGGAAATGCCCCTGGGATTTGCGCACAGATTCCGGGGATGGGGAGGCCACCGGGCAGATACCCCCAGGCCTCGCCTCCCTCCACCACCTCCCACATTCATTCAACAAGCACTTCCTGCCGCCTGCCCTGGGCCAGCCCCGTGCCGGAAGCTCCTGCTTGGCGACACGTGGGAGCCCTTCCAGCAGCGGCCCCACCACATGGCCCTGGGCTGTCGGAGCTGCCTCGTGTGACAGGCTGGAGCAGCTGCAGGACGGAGTTTCTCCGGCATCCCTAAGGCCTGTCAAACCCAGCCCTCAGCGCCTCAGCCTTCCATGTGGGAGTCACGTCCACGGACCACCTCCTCCTCCCCACCTCTGACACCGAGGGCAGGGCCTGGGAGCTGGGGCAGCTCCTCACTAGGTCCCTGCACTGGGCAGGGGAGCAGGCAGGCACAGCCTGTGTGAGCCCTGGCCTGCAGGGGGCGCGCTCCACAGCCACTGCGTTCCATCCTGCCTGGGCCCGAGGGTGCCCACACTAGTGCTCCCAAGGGACCCAGTCACTGCCCGTCCTGTCGCAGGTGTGGGTGTTGGACCGCTCTGGGTAGGACGGTGTGGGTCTCTGAGGTTATGTGTGTGGAGGTCCGTGTGTACACCTCCGGGTGGTTTCTGGGTGGGAGCGGTTAGTGGTTTTCTAGATGTGTGTGTGGTGTGTCCAGGAACATCCGAGGGTGTGTTTTGGGTTTCTCCGTCCGGTGTGCTAAGGAGTTCTGGTGTGTGTGTGTGTGTGTGTGTGTGTGTGTGTGAAGTATGACTTGTACCTGCAAATTCAGGTGTGCATGAAATATTGCAACTCTGTTTGCTCTAAACCGTATCCGCCCCTCATCCCTCCTGGAGGCAGATTTCACCTCAGCCCCTTGGAGGTCCTTGTCCAGCCCCTTCCCGGAGTCCTGCTCCGGGCAAAGCACAATGTGTACCCGAGAGTCCCTGTCCCAGCCCTCCCGGTCCCTCGGCCTGCAGGGGCTCAGCTGTCCCTGGGCCACACGTGGGTAGAGAAATCTCACAGCCTGGGAGCTGAGTCCTGGGGCCCTGCTGGCTGCCCCCCGCCCCCTGCTCCCATGCCACCCTGAGTTGCCCAGGGCGCTGAGAGGGAGGAGTGCTCGGGTGTTCTACAGGGTACTCACCGGCTCCCCTTTCCTCTCGGGGGCACCATCCCTCTCCTGTGACTGTCTCCGCTGCCTTAACTCGGAGAACACTGAGACCTGGAGCTTTGCTCCTCTACATCGGTGGTGCTGGGTGTTGGGAGGACTCCAGATTTGGAGCTAACCCTGTACCCCTCCGCACTGTCTGGGCTGGGACAGCAGCTCAGCTGGGGGGCGGGGGGTGCTCCCAGGAGTGGGAGTGGAAGACGGGGGAGAGGGAGGAGTGAAGCACTCAGAAGAGACCGATGCGAGAAGCAGTGTTAGCGATTTATTGCAGCAGACATGGCCCATGGACCCGAAGCGCCCTCCACCGATGGCCCCGCTCCCGTGGCCGCAGGGGCCTCCTACACGGGCACGCAGTGGTGCTTGAGGAGGCTGGAGGAGTTCTCCCAGGGGACCACTAGGATCTCAAAGTCGCAGCGCAGCTTCTGCAGACAGAGTGTAGGGGGAGGGGGTGAGCCTGGCCCAGGCCTGCCTCCTCCCGCAGTCAGTGCTGGCCCACCATGAGGGGCAGTCACTGGCCCAAGAGACAACAAAGCTAGGTCCCAGATCTTCCCAGTCAACTCTCCAGGGGGAACCCCCATCTCCTCTGCACCCCACCCTGACCTGGCGCTGAGTCACCCAGAAGGCAGGGACGGGTTCAGCCCGACATCAGTCTGGCCGGCCAGACCAGTTCAAGCTGGACAACCTGAGGGCCCGGGTGCCGGTGGGCAGGGCCGAGTGCAGGGCTCTTACCTCCTCCTGTGCCCCTGCGGCCAGGGGGCAGGTGGTGAGGTCCATGCGGTCTCCGGTCACCGAGCTCTTGCGGCAGGCTGTGCTCCCCATCTCCACGGTCAGGTAGTACTTAATGCCCGCCACCAGCTGGGATGGAGGGCAGGGGCAGGTCAGAGGTGCTGGGACACTCCCTCTCGCCTCTCTCACGGCCTCCCATCACCCATGCCCTCCCCCTGGGCACCAGCACACTGGCCTGGGGATTCAGACCTGGGGCTGGAGCATCCCGGAGGGGGTGCCCCGGGGGAGAGGCAGAGGCCCCCCGCCAGGCAGGAGGCTGCCCAAGTGCACACCATCCTGAAGCCCACTGCCGCGTCTCCCCCACCTCCCTTCCCAGTTAGCTGCGCAGGAAAGGGACTGGTGAGAAGCTGATGAGGTAGCCGAGCAAGGTCGGGCGTAGATTCTATTTGAAATTTAGATATTTGGTTCATTGTGCAATGTTGGCGTTAATTCAATTTTTAAAAATATATTGGTGAACTATCCTGATTACTCTTGTGACTCCTCCTCAATCTGGCGCCCGGCTGCGCGCCCCGCTCGCTCTGTCCCGCAGCCCTGACGCACCTGACTCTGCGCCTTGAGGATGCGCGTGTCTCGGAAGTAGTAGAGGCTGTTGCTGCCCATGTTGTAGCTGGCCACGGCCGCCTGGGCCGCCTTCTGCACCTGGGGGTCACTGGGCTTCAGCTCCGTCACTCCTCCGACCATGCGCTCCCCGGGCCGGGCGCGGGCATCGCGGGGCAGCGCCAGCAGACAGAAGGCGAGCAGGGCCAGGCCCAGCGCCAGAGAGAGGTTGGGCTGCGCCATCGTCCTCAGTGCCCGACACAGGTGGCTCCGCCGCTTTTACGGGCTCCGGTTCTCCGAGGCCCCGCCCGACCACACCGGCCCCGCCCCTCGGCGCGGTGCGCCCCCGCTTGGGGAGGGGGCGGGACCGCTGGGGCTGGGACCTCTGGCCAGGCCCCCTTCCAGCACCAGCAGGAGCAGCAGGCAGGCCCCAGCACACCTGTGTACCCCACGCTTGTCCTGCCCTGCAGGGCACACCCAGCCCCGGGAGGGAAGGGACAGTGGCAGCCCCCAGCAAGGGCCACCCTCCGGACAGTTCACAGGAGGCCCATCCAGTGTGAAATACCATAACCGCTGTGAGCAAGCTCTCACTCTCACCATTTACTAACTGTAACCTTGGAGACGTTACTTGACCTCTGGCTGCGTGGGTTTCCTCCTCTGGAAAAGGGGTGCTGTGAGGGTTCCCTAGGTAAAGTGCGTGGAGAGGCCTGGTACTGTTAATGAGTAGCAGGTAAGTAGGGGCCTTGCAGGGCTGCGCTGCGTGCTGTATGGCCCTCACAACCAGCATGAAGTGGGATCCACATGTCCACTTAACAGGAGGCAGGAGGCAACTGACTTGCCCAAGGACCCCAGGCGGTGAATAACAAATGGTGATGCTGGCTTTTGAGCTGCAGCAGGCTGTCGAATCTTTGCTCTTAAGCCAAACTGAGACCAAAGGATGAGAATTGGCCAGGAGGGGTGTATGTCATACCAGCTCTGCCAGTGACTAACTGGGTGACTTTCGACAAGTCCCTGGACCTCTGAGAGCCTGTGTCCTCATCTTAAGAAAGGGGACAATTATCTCCTAAGGCTATTCTAATAATGGCCTCAGGCCGGTCACCCATAGGCAAGCTGAGTGTGTGCTGGAGGTACCAGCACAACAGGGCACTGCAACTCTTGGGAGGAATAATCTGATAATGCATAAAAAACACTGAAGCGACCACGGGAGAAGTCTGGATTTTGTTGAGATTCTTCCTCCGTATTATAGCAGTCAGTACAGTCCATACATTGCTGGGGGGAAGCAGGCCTTTCGCCCTCAGGACACTAAGATTTGGTCAGTGCTGGGTCTAGGATCTTAATTGAGTCTTGGAAGACAAAGTATGTGACCAACAGTTGGTGCTTGATAAGTGGTAATTAGAGTTGACCCTTGAATGACATGGGTTTGAACTGCATGAGTCCACTTACACATGGATATTTTTCAATAAATACTGTAAATGTATTTTCTCTTATGATTTTCTTAACATGTTTTCTCAAGGTAATTTCTCAAGTGTAAGAATATAGCACATTATATATATATACATATATAACATTATATATATATATATATATATAACAAAATATGTATGTGTT